CAATTATGTAATCGGTTAGATGTAATTGAGTTCATTTAATTATAAATGTTTTGCAAAATGTAACCTTTTGTTTAGACAGTAAGTGACTTTTTCTGGCAATTTATATGTAAGTTGTGATTAAAATCAATAAAATTCTATGTATTCTCTGTATGTGTGTGAAAGCTATGATGAATGAAATATAGTTACGGATAAAAATTGTTTATAAACTACCAGTAAAACTACTCAATTCTCAGCAGTACAATTGAATTGAAAATTGTGAAATATTATCATAATTATAATTTTAAATTCTCTCATATTATAACTTATTTTTTCGAGCCATACCAATAGCACAATATATATATATTTTATTTTTAATAAAAGCAAAGTTCACTCGTCTCTCTGATGTAAATCTTAAATAACTTATAAATAAAATGTTCACAAAAGAAATGTTCACACTTTGAGTTTACAATAGTTGTATAAATATTTAAATTGCTAATCTCAGCGTAGGTAATATCGTACGAGAAGTGCTTTATGCGAAAATTGATTTCAAAAATCATTTGCTGATCATATGAATGGCAATATTATGTAATCTAATTTTGAGAGGTTTTTACTTAATTTATGAGATTAATGATTAAAAATACATTTTGTTTGATATTGGCTAAGACACAAATTTTTGTTATTTTTGAGTCTCTATTACCTTTGCTAGTGAACTAAAACTAAATTCCTAAAGAAAACAATTATTTACAAACTATAATAGCCAATTTGAAATTTTGTTATATCATATTTTGGTACAAATAATTGATTTAATTCCTTAGTCAACATTGAAAGTTAATGATAACTAGCTGAACTTTAATTACAAAATATGATACTTAAGAAATACTGATACTTATGTGACAAATGTCTTTAATTAAGTTTATATTCACTTTTCAATGTCTATTCAAATAATAAAACAATAAATTATATTTTTTAAGTGAATTATAATAAAGTAATAAATTTAAAAGATATAAAAAGCCATCACTTTCTAAGAAAATTACTAATAATAAAGCTATAAAACAGTATTTTTATCATTAGACATTATTGCACTAATTGAGCTAATTTAACAGCAATTATACAAAAATTAATTTAATATAAAATTAATAATTATTAATTAATTCAATAATTAATTCAATTCCGTTAATAATTCAGTTAATAATTAATTCAATTCCACAAAAGTATTAAATTGCAAATATATGATAAAATTATTTTCCAAAGTATTGCATGTATTAGGAACATGGTGTTTTTATAAACAGGGACAAATGTATGGTATGCGCAACTTACCACTATCAGCTTGGTAATCTTTGGAGGTGAACTTCAAAATCTGTGACCCTTTTGTATTCTCCACACATGTCTCAATCTCCTCAGTAATTAAAAAGTCTGTCTGTGTGTTAACTAGCGATGAATTAGATGATAATAATAATGCCATAAAAATGATCAATAAGTTAGCGGGCTTAAATTTGAACGGTTTTATTTGTGACATTTTATGTGTCCATCAATAACCACATTCCCAAACGGCATACAATTTTTCGCACTAATAAATGCCAATCTATTAAATTATTAAAACACGGCACACATATACCACAACTTTTTATAGTATTTTCAATTATTAAAATATATTATTACAATGCTAACTATGCGAGTGAGTCTCATAAAATTCATAATNATATTATACATACAATTATTTTGTCGTCATTTGTTTGGGTAAATAAATTAATTTCTGTATCAGATATTAGTTTACTATTTAAATTTTAAATAAACGCAAGTAATTGTAATCGCATTATACACTCATACATCATTGATATAACTGTAATTATTTTCATTGACAAGAATATGTACTGTTCAATATGATAATTGTATTATTTAATATTTTTGTTAGTCTACTATGTTTTCGTAATTGCCAATAAAGTGTAGCATATTTTATGAGTGTATTGAGTAATTATTATTACGGTACTTATTACAGGTATCTATTCATTGAGAAATTTACATGGATGACATCAAGCAACTCTAAATATTACTGGTAATACAATATGCTATTGTAATATTACTGGTATATCACGAATACACCATAAAATTAATAAAATTCTCAAACAATTAAGTCACTGAAAGTGAAAACTTATGAAATATGGAAATATTTGAATATTATAGAGGGATAGGATGTTTACTGTTAATGTATTAATATTTACAATGGGTTTAAATTTACAAAGTAATTAATGCTATGATATACTGTAATAATAAACTTTCATAGTTTTAATACAGACATCATTTGAGAATCTCAGATATAATCTCAGATAGACATAACCTGTATACTTTTGTTATTCAATTGTATAATAGCATTCATACATTGTAATAACAATGAAACGAGCGATTAATTTATTACAATTACATACAATGACAAACATGTCAACATCATTGCGGAATTTTATGAGCGACTAAAAAGCAAATTGATATTAATATACAGATACTGAATATAATACCACTGGTATTAAACCGGTGTAAATATATTCTGTAACAGTATTTGTTTGTTTAGTGTAATATTTCAATCAATTTTCTAGTCTTAATATGTTGTAAACAATCAAATTGTGTGCTGTCTTTGAGTACTCAACAATTGGTGGGAGAATAGGAAGCGCTTGAAGTGGAAGAATATATTTTATGAGTCATTTGTTATCATAGGAGACATATTATAGATTTATATAAGCAAGCACTTCAATTGGTGTCCAAAGCATTCACAGACTACTACTGTACAAAACCCATTGAGATTAGGCGTAAAGTTATTTTATAACAAATTACAGATAATTATCGATAAGACGAAGAATTTTTATCCTTTACTGCAATTACTGCTGCGATTGATAGGAACCGGACGTCAAGTATTCAAAACAATCGCACATTTATTTTAAGACTGTTTTTATATGACTTTTGTGATAATTACTTGTATTAAATAGTTTACTGAATATATTCTGATTTATGAGCACAAAAAATGTGTAAAAAGTATTAATTCTAGTACTAGTATACTAGTATGTAAATCAAAATATTTATTTCAATTAATTTATATCACAATTAACGTTATAAAGTATACATGAATTTACAGAATAATGACATTTGAAAAAAGCAAATCTATATAATTTAATAAACGATGTTTTCAGGCATTTGTTTGAATATTCCTATAAAATGACTTTCAATCACAACATTTTAATACTATATTTAAATTAACGATTAGTTTTTAAGCGACAAAAACATAGCGAAAGGCCTAATATTATCCGAACTTCACTTGAGTGGTCTCACTAAACGTGACGATCGACTTTCGTCTCCCCTCTTGAAACACGGGCTTCTCGTCGATGGGCTTGTCTTCGCTCACCTCATGCACGACATCCAGTTCCCCGCCAGTGTAGGCGGCGTTCTCGTAGATGCCGTTGTTGTTCAACTGGTCGCTGAAGTTAGTTTTGGGCGGCTTTAACGACGACTTTCGCGGCATCGATGTTAGACTCGGGCTGTCTTTGGACACGGCTTTCGCGCCGATGAGTATATTATTGGCCGTCACGTCGATCGTCGACTCGATTTTGTTTGACTGCTCGAAGGTCTCCTCACTTTTAATGGCAAACACTTGTTATAAATGATTTATAGCTTCACTTATAGTTAGCGTTTAACTCACTAATTAGTCTCATTGTATGATTTGCCGCTATCGTACTGAATGGACTCCCTGTCCTCCCGTTGACCGAACTTAAAGGTGATGGGCTTTTTTCGTCTCAATATAATCAAGGCTAAGGCGAGTGCCGTGAATAGTATGAGACACAGACTGGCCAGGAATGCAATGATGATAGTACAGGGCGAGGTGTATGACTCCTGGCAGCTTTTCACAAAACTTCCGGACACTTGAATCTTCTGTGAACCTAATTTGAGTTCAAGTGTAAACTTGTCGTTTAGTTGAGGCTTCTTCAGTGTAACCATATATTGATTTTCATTATCATTGGATTTTTGGATATCAAACGAATCTTGCTCTATAAGTATACCAATTATGTAATCGGTTAGATGTAATTGAGTTCATTTAATTATAAATGTTTTGCAAAATGTAACCTTTTGTTTAGACAGTAAGTGACTTTTTCTGGCAATTTATATGTAAGTTGTGATTAAAATCAA